CTTCACTTGCTTATTTTGGCAGACGATGATAGTACGCAACTGATTTATCTTGAAATAAAAACTTTTAATGGAAATCTCGTCATTTCTAGGCAAATTTGATTGCTTAATTTTTGTTCACTACGATGCACGGTATTCGCTTATAAAATAAAATAACGTTTCTTTGCATGATCCTAATATCGTTAGTATGACAATGTCACTATGTCGAGAAATAGATTGTATTTTTCAGGTGAAAACCGTGCGTCAGATTAAAAGAATTCAATTTTTCATATCCGTCCCACTATTTCCACCCAATATTGTTGTCATGTTAACAATATTGTTATGATCGTATTTATAAAAATCGTACATCAGATTGAAAAAAAAATCATTTCGCATCGATTTTTGATTCGAAGTAATTGAAAATTTTAATATGAGAGAAATAAACAGAATATCATCACTTGTCTATCAAAACAGGCAGGTAAAATTAAATGAGTGTCTCTTGACACGTTTACATGTATTCCAAATTTCATTAAGTGGTAATACGAATTTTCATAATCAAGGATTTATTTTTTTGACCTTTTCTACCACCCTGTGTTTCAAAAGTTAAAACATTTAGAATATACGATCATTTCATCTTAAATGGACCTGAAACCACCCCCCTAGGACAATAAATTAGGAAACAAACTAAATTGCAGTCACCAATACTTCAAGAGATAAATGCAGACTTTCGAGCCAAAGAATTCACATTTTTGTTTACTGTGACTATCGTAACTAGCAAAATCTGCTCTTCATATCAGTGTTTCAAATATCAAACCTGTTCAGTTTTTGATATTTCTTTCTCAAACAGTAAATGTTTTTCTTTCCTAGGTAACTACAATTTTCAACATAATGGGTATTTTGCGCTTATCTAGTTGTTTGAAGTTTGTTTAACAGGAAAGTAATTTCCTTGATGAGTCACAATTTTCTTTTATTTTCCCATTCGTAATTAATTATGGAATTGTCATAAAGTTTTTCTGATTTTGCTTCATGCTGCAACTCTATTCTTCTGTTTACTCTCTGTAACACTTCATTTTTGGTAATCCTACATGACCATGGCATTTTGAGCACCCTGAAATAGCGATGCTCAATAATAGTAATTATGATCTTCACATACACGAATGCACATACTTACTTGTGCCTGACACTCTACACAATCTAGAGTCAATCACAATGATTTGTGAAAAAGCATATATGATATCGACAATGCACTTGCCATACAATGTTTCTTATCCATGGAGGAACCATCTCATAAAGTTTGTGAGAATAAATCACACCTGAAAATAATGCGATAAGTATATAATATGTATATGCAATGATTTGTTTTGTAACTTACCAACCTTCATCAAGAGAATAGCTTGGTTGTAAGCTTCTGGAATTTCGTACACACAAATATGATATTATAATATATCCATGTGCATTAATTTTCCTAACTCAACAATTTCTTGAAGATACCACAGGTTGTGGAATTTGTTTAATGTAGCGATGTATTTTTGAGCGATCGACATTATTTGCAAGAAAATTACAAATGATGGTTCCGCTGTCATGTGTCTTGAACGTCAAAACAACAACATAACCTCAAGCCAAAACTGTCAGTATGTCGGAAATGTAAAGCAGGACATACATGTACGTCAATGAAGAAGACGTAATATTACCGAAATCAAAGAGGCCATAAACGCGCCCTACAATTGTCCTTGATTGTAATAGTTTTCTGCTTCTCCGTGTCAGAGCTCACATCTATTTGCATCAAATTGTGCTTGCTTTTCAGTTATATCATGTTTTATCAGCCTGGAATTTCCTACAATTTAAAAGGAAAAGGAAAACATCTTACGACTGACGATACGGGCCTAAGTGTGCAGAATATTCCACAGATACTATTCGCCATTTGTTTGTCTCGGCGGTCTGTAGGACCTTTGCCCATTAGTCACTGTCTAGTGTACGTTAGTCGAATCTGTCAGTCCTGGTTGCCCAGAAACCAGACAACGTCAAGGAAAAAAAAAGGGAAAGAAGAAAAAAGAAAAGAGCAAAGAAAAAATAGGAGTGCTCAGTTCAAGAGGAAACACCTAGGCTTTTTGACTTGGTATACGGATTAATTTTGAGGTGAACTAAGCAAATTTTGATTCGGTTTGAAGTGGATCCGACCTTACACAATATTACTCAGGGTTTTTCCGTGGGTTTCAGCAATAACGACGGCGATATGGCTAACAAACTTTAATGGTAGTAAGGCACAAAATAATTCACTAACTTAAAAAAACATGGAACCCGATAATCCTTAAATCCGGAAGATGGTCACGTCACCTGTTGCCTCTCTCGTCGGCGAAGGGCAACTCCCCCTCGCTCGATCTACCACAATTTCGTCCACTGTTGCCGAGTTGCCGCGCACCTCACTGAACCACTACACAACCCCCACTTAAATCGAGGTAACACAGATTTAAGTCTCGAAACAGAGCAGAGGGTGCAAGGCAATACCGGGAACATTACTCCAGTACAACATCGCTAGGCTGCATATAAGCTTTGAGATTGATCACATTTTCCTTAGAATGAATCTTACCATCAAGATGTCCAATGACATAGGAGTTGGGTCCCGCTTGTTGTAACACAGTATACGGTCCATCATACAGTAAAAAGAATTTAGAAATTAGTTTAGCTTCGGCGGACGAATGAGGATGCGTTTTAACTAGAACCTTATCGCCCGGGTCAAAAGTAACAGGTTTCATCACTTTAGCCCTCTTTAACGAAATTTGCGCATTTCTGTTATAACCTGGAACATTGCACGTCTTATCCCTTGAAGGACGCCGCGACAAAGCATCCGCCACTACGTTGTCAGGTCCTTTGCAATATCGTATCTCGAAATCAAATTCTTGGATAAATATTATACAGCGCGACAACCTGTAGTTTTCGCTGCTGCTGCTGCCTGAATATCCTCCGCACTGTAGCCTTTGCTGCGGGAATCACCATCATCAACGCTGTACTCTACCAGTGGCGTAACCCTGCTAGCTTTATTTTCGACTACATCAAACACATAATCATTTTTCTCGCAGAGGTTTATAGATATTTTCTGCGGATCAATCCGGAATGACAGCTCCGTATTTACGGAAACCCCTTCTATCATCAGCTTCAGCTGTGAATATTGATAATCCAAACGTGCTTGATGCTTGGATAACCAATTTGATCAAAATATCAAATTGCAATTGAGTTGTGGAATAACCAAACAGTTCACATCCATATCTATTCCTTCTAATTGAACTGGAATCAAGATTTGCGACTTTATCTTCTGCGTTTTACCGCCTATTGCTACAGAGATCACTCCCCGTATGACCGGTAAAATTGGAAATTTCCCGAGATTGCTTAACTCTGAATAGAACTTCTCCGAGATTGCGCATATATCTGAGCCGCTATCGATCAATAGTTCTACCAACGTACCAAAAATATGTATCGATATGGTCGGCGAAACTTTTTCATCATCCTGCACTATATCCACCGGGTCGCTTAAAAGATCGATGTCTGGATCCCCCATGCAAGCCAGTGAACGCACGGTATGTCCCTCATTATTTCCACTAGCGGTCGACCGCTTATCTCTCGATATCTCTCGCTCGGAATTTGTTCGATTATTTTCAGATCGATTACTATAACTCTGCGCATTATTCATGTTCCTATTCGAACCCTCGACAGTAGACAATTCGTCAATACGTCTCAGAGACAGAGGCCTTGATATTCCTTACTTGAGCGATTATGTTAAGTTTCATGCGCAGCGACGCTATAGTCAAGCGCAATCGCACATCAATCCTCTGTTGCGTGACTCACTGGAATACACAGAGGAGCAAATTCGTATACATTCAAGGCCACGGCTCTCACTGTAACCAAAAAATTAGCGCGAACTTTTAGTAAACTCAAAATTACACTCTGACAAAACCTGTAGTGGTTCAGTGAGGTGCGCGGCAACTCGGCAACAGTGGACGAAATTGTGGTAGATCCGTAGATCGAGCGAGGCGGAGTTGCCCTTCGCCGACGAGAGAGGCAACAGGTGACGTGACCATCTTCCGGATTTAAGGATTACCGGGTTCCATGTTTTTTAAATTAGTCAATTATTTTGTGCCTTACTACCGTTAAAGTTTGTTAGCCATATCGCCGTCGTTATTACTGAAACCCACGAAAAAACCCTGAGTAATATTGTGTAAGCTCGGATCCACTTCATTTGGCGTCCAACTCGAGGCAGTAAAACGGCGTAGCGCGATATGGTTGCAAGGTGTTAGATAGAGCGAACGACCTAAATTCGATCCTGATTTTGTGCCTTTTACATCGACACACGAACACGTTGGCTGCAACTGTCGAAGATGCAGAGACGCTTCTTGAAAATATTTTTCTATCGTTCTAAGGGCAAATATACCGGGCAATCTATGATGTGTTAAATATGCCTAATAGTTGCGTAGAATGTTTGCAGTTCGTAGCGTATTAAAATACCAACTTCAAATAATTGCAATACAGCTTCCCTCACCTCTCCACGGTCCCCACCCATTCTTTACCTCTAAGAAGTATCTCAAAAATGGCCAGGGTAATCCGAAAGGTCAAAGAACGAAGTTTATTTTTTTCGTTTTTGACATTTTCCTCCGTCGCTACTGGTCTGGTTTTCAAAAACTACAAGCGTTTTTATCCTTGGCACAGTAGTAACCCATTGTGAAATTTTCATAAAAATCCGTCGGGTAATTACCAAGTTATAGAAGGCCCAAGCATTATCGAACAGACAGATTGTCATATAACCCAAAAAACTAATACCTCGTTTCCGGAATTTTTCGTGCTTACAATACTTCCTCGCCTTTAGGCGGGGGAAGTCATCACGTATGTCTGTCCGCTAGCAAAAATGCCCGGATAAAAGATATTTATGTGTGAAGGAGATCGTTCCATGAAAAAAGTTCCTGTAGTTGTACTGTGAACCGCAAAAAAAAGTGCTAGGACTTTAGATAAACTCTATTTTATCCTGTACAGGTCAATTTAGACAATTTCGGCCAAGCTTTTAGTAACAAGTTCTCCACGCAAATCTTGTTTGTTGAACCACCTGAGAAACGTGTGAGGATAACTTAACGTCTGACAATTTCCGTATGTCATCATAACATTTGGTAAGTCACTATCATCTCATTAAAATTTTCAAAATACTAAAATTCACAGTAATAATATCTACAATGGGGGAGAAACTGGACGAGAATTTCTTTTACAACACCATGTTAACTAAAGCCCTGATACAACTACTTCCGCCCTTCGGTAAGCAGTCAAGTCTTAATGCTCAGTCGTCCTTTGCTTACAAGTATGTCGCAATAAGCTTTGTTAAGTTTAGATTCTATGGTCGAAGACATTCTCTAATTTACCTATACTTATATATACCTTAGAACGAAGGGCAACCCTAATGTGGTTTGAAAAGCTGTTGACTATGGATAAATCTAAAGAGGAAAAAGAAATGAGAAATGAGTATTTGTGGTTCATTTTGCTCATGCTCCAATGCCAAAAGATCAGAGAGCCGTTCAATAGGCCCCCACCAGACGAAATGGAGCCACTTAGGGATATTGTGGTAAGTTTAATTTATTTCATGTGCTTAGCTAAAAACATTGGTTCTAAGCGTAAGTAAAAACCGCAGTTAAATTAAATCCTATCCTATGTCAACATCTTAACTTTGAGAAATCTTATTATATTATCAGTTATTTACACAAACTTTTCTCATTAAGTGGACAACTTACTACAATATTGACACTTGAAATATGTATTTAAGTATACTTCTCTGCGAGTTTATTTTCAGGGCACCGAGCAGATTAGATTGAGTAAATACGTTACACAAATATGTATATGGTTTTTACTATACGCTCACCAGAACACAGTTTCTAACTTTGTCCTCTAACTGAACCCTCAAAGAGCTTGAATTGCTTTAATCGTAGAAGGGTGCTGAAAGGGAGATCAATAACATTGAAGTTTGTCAAATACGTGGTCTACAAATAAAGTTTTAAGACTGATTTTTTTTATTTTTTTCATTTAAATGTTAATGCAATTTTATACTGGCACCCTCAAAATAACTTGCTTCTGAAGCGGCACAGCGCTGCAGACGGTTCCTCACAGCAGTTTTGAAACTCCGATACTGGAATAGCCCTCAGCTGGTCGGTTACAACCGTTTGAATGTTTTCGGCTGTCCTAAAATGAGTTCCCTTGAGGTGATTTCCAACCTCGGGAAGAGAAAAAAGTCACAAGGGCTCAAGTCAGGCGAACACGTAGGATGATGAACGTTTTTACTGGCCAAAAACTCGTTTATTGTCATTGCTTTATGACAAGTAGCATTATCGTGGTGCGACACTCAGTTGTTCTTGATCTGATGAGCGGTGGTTTGGGTCAAACTTAACTCTATACTGATCATTATGACTGTTCTTCGACGATCTGAATGGACAAGATCCCGGATTCTGTCGATATTTTCTTTACTTCTTGAAGATGAAGTCCTTCCACTTCGTTTTTCATTTACAATCGAGTCTTTCCTTTCTGAGAATGCCTTTAAGTACCGAAAAACCTGGGCTCTTGGAAAAAGACCATCTTCGTAGGCCTGCTGAAGTTTAGCAAGAGTTTCCGTTGCACTGTGTCCAAGTGTGAAGCAAAACCTCTTAGCACACAGTTGTTCGGAATTGATGTCATTGTCATTGTACTGAAGGCGGCTCACATGTTCCCCTGACTCACCTCCAAGCCCGGCGCCTCCAGTGTTGCCAGATCGAACGCTATGTTGTCAGTCTCATCACTTAGATTACAGATCTCTTATGCTGTTATCGGGGAGAAGTAGGTGCAGTCTGGCAACCGGAAGCACATTCTTCCAGATCGTCTGTCATGTCTGTACTTTTAAGCGTGCTTTTTTTTGTGAAACTAATATTACACTAGTGTATACTGATGTTCTTTGATAAAATGAGTGTACATATTCGTTTTTTTTTTTCGTCCAGATTTCGAACTAGTTTTACGTTCAGTACAGAAATATCGCACGACCTGAAGAAGCTCCTACTTATGTTATCAATAATCAACTGTCAACAGTGTCACATTTTACAGCTTTTACGTGTAACTTTTCATGTAACCATTTTTTAAGTCAATCTTTTCATGGTTTTATTTGCTCGTCTTCGAAAAATTACAACAACAGCACGGGAAGGTCAACAAACTGAGAGACAAATTATCATCGACAGATTGGCACGAAACACAAAATTACGGACGTGGTATGTTCTTTTGGGGGCAAGTTTTGAGATGAACTGGAGCAGCGTGTTACATACACAAAATTGCACCACTTTTGACAAGAAAACGGTATACATAACAGCATTCTCCCGTGTTCTATCTAGCCAGCAAAGGTATACGAAGAGATACTGATTGCAAACGACGAAAATATGGAATGGTTAGAGAGACCGGACTCTCAAAGGAAAAGTGTCCAGTTCAATCAAACTGCTCCACCACAATTTTTCCAGAATCAACCTACTCCAAAAGAAGGAATCATCTGCTACATTGCTGCATTTAGTGATAGATCCATCTAAGGTCACGGTTGATATACCAGTATCCGTTTTTCAAATATGCCAACCATTATACAGAAAAGTAATACACTCTTCACAGTAATGATGAAGTAATTTTGTGATCTTAGACTTTCCAGGAAATCTAGCTTTATTATTAATTAATATATTAATATATGGTCGACTGGTGTTTGGCCATGCTTCTACCGACTACCCCTCCCCCCCTCCGCAACAGGCGAGGAAACACTATATTTGCAAGGTTACGCCACATAAATTCTGTTCATTCTGCTACACTATATACGTATAGACGGACACGGTCGGATCCCAGTCGTTTTAGAGGTTCCTGCTCATTTTTGACAATATCTTTTGAGTGCTTAAAAATAGGAGTAAGGCATTGTAAGGGGTGGGAGAAGATGTATTTTTTGGCGTTAGTACATCTAAACGCTTTCAACCCCGTTAATTCTACATGAGTTATAAGAAGACACTTAGAATCAAATGGACAATATTACTGTCGATTCTAGATACGGAAGCAGCGAGTTAGATGTCAGAAGCCTCGGGGAAATAGATACAGACTCAGAAAATTATTTAGTAAGGGCATAACTTCGGTTCAGATTAACACACAACTTTGATAAAACCAAAACAAACACCAAGTGGAACATAAATCGAATCCAAGCGAAAAATCAAAATTTCTGGGATATTTACCGCGGTTATAATGTAGTTTAAAGATGAGACACGAGTTGATGACGTCAGCTACTCGAATCACTTGATTGACCGCGGTTTTGTTGCAAGTTCTTTATTTTAGAAAAGTGCGTATATAATTTCTCTTTATTTTTATTATTACTTAGTAGCCGGTGCTTTTTCGTCTACAACAGTGCTATGGAAAGCATAAAAAAAAACTTTCGTAATATCAATGGGAGAAATGTTTTTTTCAAAAGATATTGTTCAGGTGTTAAATCACTTGAGAAAACCTTCAGACAAGATTGTCGTGAAAATAAAAAATATGATGGTCAAAATTTCATTGGTAGAACCATGGTTTTGTAGCTATGATAACTTTCAATTCTTTAAACTTTTCCGCATGTCAAAAAAATATTTATTGATTTAGCAGAAATGATAGGACAAAGCGATGGAAAAGGATATTAGCAAAACCGTATACAGGTGGTCACTATCCAGTGAGCTTATATGACCATATTTTGATCTCCTTGTGGTATTATACACAGGATACTTTGTTAAGTATATGCACTAGATGTAAAGTCTCCCCAACAGCAGTAATGGGTATAGCTAATAAGGTGCAATACTTTATGCTAAAACTGAAGTCAGCCTGTATCAAGTTTCCCAAAAATGAAGCTGAAGTACAACAAAAATATCCAATTCCCGCCAAAATTCTAACTTGTCACATTTCAAATAATAACCAGAAGTATAAAACTACTCCGGAGTTGGGTAAGTACCACAATTTTACGGTGATAACTATGACATATAATAGCTGCTTGATGACGTCACTAATCTGATAACCAAACTGATAACCATAATCGCTTGAACGGATCGGTAAATACCAATCCAAATGGTAAATACTATTCTCATTTGGTTTTTCGCTTGTATTTGATCATAGGAAACTTAAAAAAGAGCAATAGGTAAAGTATGAGCACGAGGTCGATGATGGTTTTGAAGATATATGCAGTACCGATGGGGCTGAGGAGGCGTGGGAAGCAGCGCCAGTGGAGAAATCGGGGATGAGTGTAGCAAAACAAGTATTAGGAAAAAGGAAGAGAGAAAAAGGAACAATTGGTTTCATGAGTGAAAAGAGAAGGACTATGTCACAGAATGACACAAAAAGAAAGCAACTCCAAAATCCGCAAGGGTACTAGAAAGGTTATTAGAAAGAATAGAGAGGAACATGAATAGACGTAATACGAAATTATCGAGAGTAATATCCTGAAGCCGAGGTCTGGACGATTTTATAAGACAACTTCTAACGACAAAATACCAAACACTTTTTGAGTTCCCACGACAACGGAGATCACATTGTCAATGAAATGGAACTCAACTTAATTTCGAGTAATTGCTGGACGTAAAACATGAAGCGATGACATTGGGTATGTGGTATAATAAGAAATTCAAAGGCACCAGGATGCGTTGCTTGAATAGGGTAGGAGTTTAACAGTATCATCAATAATCTGGTTATCGATTTCCGACAGCCTATAACGTCATACATAGACAACTATGGAATGCGTTGGCTAAATTTTCGATTCTATCAACATAATCAATATATACGTAGATATGAGTAGGCAGCAGTTCATCCAAGGCACGAAGAAATAATCATTTATCTGAGGCTTTCAATATAATTACTGGTCTTAAGCAGGGAGATGCCCTAACTACACCTCTGTCCACTTTTACTTCCTGGCGAGGAAGTATTGTAATCGAAATTGAGATGCCTTTTTTGGAGGTTAGGTATATGACATGTGCACTATGAAAAACCATGCTCGCCAGGTTACCAGCACTTATTATTACTACTTTGAATACCGGTCTAGTGGCGGCGGAGTTAGCGGCAAAATCACGAAAAAGATATCGCTCAGATTTCTTATTGGACGTTTCAGAGGCTCCTGATCAATTTGTAGTGGTTAAAACTTGGAGGATGAGGGTTGTAGTGGGTAGGGGGTTGAAATTGTTAAATCTTCAGTATTAGTCAAAGATGTTCTATCATTAAGATGCTGCTGATCCCGGTAACAACGGGAAAATAAAATGATAAAACTTCGACGTATAGTGCTTATCATAATTCGACATAACTTGCAATCGGCGATGCTTCATCTCAGTGGTCGCCACTGCCGACTGTGCTAGGAGTGACAAGCTTCAACTGACCAATCTGCGTTGGTGCTGTCACAGACACACCGCTACAGGAGAATAACTATGGTATATAATTTTAATGATGACTTGACCGTTTTCATATCTACACTATTTTTTCGGATTTCTATAATCCTTGCATGAACATCAGGTTGAGTGGCTCAGTACTTATGATGCATTGATATCCAACAGACAATACGGACTACCAAACCGACATAAAGGAACACAGAGTTGTGTGATGCATATATCTATCAGCAAAAGAAAACTTGTGAACTGAAGTTCAAGTATTATCGCGAGTTTAATATTTCAATCGTTTAGGTAGTCGCAGATCTTGAAAATTGGTTCAGAGGCGGCGGAGCTACGGACAAAGAAATCAAATCGCTGAAACTTAGTGTTACAATGTTTCAGAGGTTCATGTTTCATTAGAAACATTGTTTGGAGGGGCTGAAAATGGTAGATTTGAAGTTGTATACGGTGAATTGTTGTATGTTTTTGCATATTTCGAGTCAGTAAAAGATCTTCTATTATTAAGAAGCTGCTGATCTCACTGATACTATGCACCTGTTAGACATAATAAGCAACACGTTTCCCCTACATCTGCCATGGAGACAGAAATATGATAGACCTGCTTTATATATAGCCTTATATGCAGATGTCGAAGTTTCATCGCACCTAAGTCAACTTACCTCATCACAATTCGATTTCGTCTTTTGAAACGACTACTTGTCTTGAAATGATGGAGTTTAGAGACAATTTACTTGACGCCCAGTACCTCACAGCTGAGTGACCGAAACTTCTCTTAACATACGCGGATAATATTGCGCGGAAAAAGGTGAGGTTAAGAATTAATGAAGACAAGGGAGAAAGGACCGAATAGAGCAAACGGTAACAATAGACTTCTACAGATTTGAGAGTGTTAAGAGTTTCAGGTACCTTGAAGCGATGATCAACGCCAGCAATGGCATCACTGAAAATGTCAAAGGAAGAATACAATCTGCGAATAGACGGGCGTTCTCTCTTTACAATTTTATTAATTCGAGAAATCTCACACTCTCCTCTACCATCATGATTTATATGACCCATTGAGATTTATGGCAGTGCAACACGGACGATGTCAAAAGCCAATGAAGAATATATAAGGTGCTCCGAACGCAGAGTACTGCGTACGATTTTTGGAGCCCTACAAGACCCAAACATGAATACCGCATAAAACCGAAAATCGAAATCAGACATGGTACAAGCCATCAAAGCACAGCGATTGAGATGGGCTGGATATGTTTAAAGACTTAACAAGGATCGGTTGGTAAAGTTGATCTAGGAGGAAGAACCAGCTGGTAAAAAACCTCTAGGTGGTCGCTGTATGAGATGGTGGGATAACGTGAAGACCAGACCAGATGCAGTCAAATTGTGACGTAAGTCAAAAGGTACCCGGGGTTGTAGCGGTGATTGTAGGTAAGTAGGTAAGTACAGATTTCACGCATCATGGATTTTCTCTAATATTTTCCCTTCAAACAGAATTATAGGAGATTATTTTCATCCGACGCGTCACGTATAAATCGCACGGCAACGCAACGGACGTATATACGTAATTATGTTGTGGCGCCCTTTTTTCGCTGCTGGGGAACCTCTTAGGGAAAGGTAGAATTTCGAGCGCTAAAGTACAGAGACAACACTGTGATCCCGCAATAGGATGTCTGGGCAGCTACAGTGAAGAAAAATATTCTAGGGGTCAGTTGCTTGTCGGGAACGCACTTTTACCTTTTACTGAGTTTTTGCTTATGCCTTTCTGACTTTCTACTTCTTAGTAAAAACAACTCTTCAACCAGAACTCGGTTTATTAGCAGCGTCATTCAAACTTCAACTTATCTCAGACGTAACAGATTCTCAAGCTATGACGTAGTAAGGGTGTGCTCAAAAGCTCTTGTAGATAAATGTGCAAGCATTTGTAGTCATATGCATTTGTGAAAACAAAGCTCGGAAAATAACGGTACCCACAATTCTGACCCAAAATAAACACAGACAAACTACAGAAACTTTCCCGGCACTACCCGGCCAACACGGTGCACTTTCGGACACTGCTTACCACTGTTTAGAGGTCACCACTTCACTGGAAAATCCTTGAAATGGTACTCTAGTTGGCAGGGCTTGCCCTTCTTCCGCTCGACTGCGATCTCAAAATTCAGATACTCGACAGGTCGGAAACGTAAAATTTGTACCTATAGGCGTCGGTATATGTCACGATGCCGACTTACGTGGTGGGGAATTTGATCAGCTATATAGCACGATGTCGGCCAGAAGTGAGCATCGTCACGTGCTACTTCCTGCTGTGACGTCACATCGTCGATTCGACGATGACGTCGTGAGTTTAAGTCTGCCCCATTTGCTATAACCTTCAGCCATATCCACAACCCTGAGTAACACGCAAAAATAGGGGAAGATCACTTCGAGTTATCCAACCCTTTTTAAACCCTATCAATGACCTCGGAAGCGTTAGTGACCTAAGGAACTTCTCCATAACCAGTATCCCGGAACCTCCAACAATTTCCAGTGGTTTGGAAAGTGACACCGTACATTTACAAGCATTATTTGCATCAGCATAATTAATTTATCTACTTACAAGATCACTGGCATTCGTTTCTAGTTCCATATAATATCGGAAAATTCTTTATCCAAGACCCAGTACGTAAACAACATCTAACAAATAATCTAATTTGTAGACAATCCTATAGGCGCCTGCCTCATAAAAAATGCAAAATGTTTTCTAGAAGGAATGAAAAATAAATGGCCACATTCCCAATTGACTGGCCCACAACCAGAGAAACATCGTCTATTTATGAAGGGAGATCAATAAATTTGGTAACTTAAGTCAACAAACGTGACTAACCTTCGGGAGCCGCGTTGCCAGATGGCCTGTACTGTCGGTAGGGCAGGGGAGAAATTTCTAGAACCCCAGCGTTGTCAAATGGTTGGCAGTTCTGGACCAGTTTTATGGACCTGTCTGACCGGTGTTTTGATATGTGGTGTGGAAAAGCCAATTGAAGGGCATAGGGGGAGATTAAAAAGCAATACCAGTATACCTAGATCAGAAAGTACTTCCAAATATAACATAGAGTTATAGAGGTTTCTGTTAGAAGTAAGGTGATGGAGTGATACATAAATCGTGAGCTTCTGGACTACCTCGAACGCCACAGCTTGTTTAGCGACAGACAGTATGGTTTCCGTCACTAGCGATCCACAGGGGACCTCCTAACTTACGTCACGTAATTGAGGACTGAACTCATCCAGTCTTATGGTGAGACTCATGTCGTTGCCCTTGACATCACGAAAGCGTTCGATCAGCTGTGGCACGCTGCTCCCTAAAGCAAACTTCCATCCTATGGCCTCCCAGAAAAGCTTTGCAGATGGGTGGCTGACTTTATCTCTGGCCGCAAGATATCCGTCGTAATTGACGGGTTCTCTTCTTCACCCCACCACGTTAACGCGGGTATACCCTAGGAATGGGTCTTGGCTCCGACACTGTTCCTCTTACATATCATCGACCTTCTTTCCTGCAGGATCAACCCAATCCACTGCTTTGCTGTTGACAGCACTTTACATGCAGGAATTCAGATTGACAAGATGATCTCTGCCGCTGAGCTGGTAACAAGAAGACTAGCGACGACTTCCTCTCTGACCAGAATTATGTAGTTGGAACTTCAAACTTCGTTTTAAAAAAACTTTATTTGATTCCAACAATAGTGTACATGGACCGAACCGGAATTACAGTATGTGGGTTCGGTGTGACTGAGATTGAATGACTGACTCATAATTAAGATACAATCGTTAATATAAACCAAAAGTGATGAGCTAGTAAAAAGGAATACAATGCAATTATTGGAGACGCAATAATCTTGTACAGTTTAATGCTTCCTAAACACAGTACTGTACTTTGATGAACAAAAAGGGTCCTAGCGCTCATCCCGTTTCGATGGACGGCCGAGATTGCTAAAGAGCCATTCATTTCGGCTGGTCGGGGTTCAGACCACCGAGGACCTGATCTGGCATAAACACATCTCCTCAATAGCGGCAGCTGCTGGGAAAAAAGCTAGGCTTGTTTAGGGCTGGGAAGTACTTTTCCACCGTGACCTTCTCACTCTATACAAGGCCCAGATAAGGCCTAGCCTCGAGTATTGCTCACACGTTTGGGGTGCTGCCGCCTCGACTACATTATTTATGCTCGATGCTGTCCAGAGGAGGACTCTTCTCTAACAGACAGTCTCGGGACCCTTTCGCATCGGAGGGCCGTCAGCGATCTAGCTCTTTTCTACCACTACACCAACGGAGCACTCTTCCATGATGCCGTCGCGCGGTGTGCCTACCAAACACACCCGCCTGAGTTTGGCACCACATCCTAACCGTGTCGAACTTCGTACATACAGATATGGTCGATACGACCGCTCCTTTGTCCCGAGGGTGTCGAAATTGTGAAACAATCTACAAGAAGCTTTTCCCAGTTCTACTACCCTTAGGGTATTGTTTCTATGACATTATTGAGACCGAATAAGAACAAAACATGGATGCTAGTCACTTAATGCTACGGCGAGGATTACCCGCTAAATGCAGTATATACGATGTTCCATGTCATGCTACATCGTATTTGCAACGAAAAAAAGGTGTTGCTTTATAGGGACACCGATAACATTCAATCCAACGTTTCTCCAAAAGCAATAGTCTGGAAAAAATTGCTGATAGGTGATGTATGTAGAACTCAATACCTTACCCAAAAATATAATAGAGGTTCCAAATGAGTTACTGCCGTAGAAAGAAATTTTATTTTTGCTCCTGCTAAGGTCCAAGTTTTCCATCTCTCGTGTTTTGTTTGGACTTACCTTCTATCCTAGAAATGTTACCACTGCTTCCTGACTGTGTATAGGAAATGAGGAGGGAGTAGGATGAATATAGTGTCGTTTTATTCTGTAAAATTTAAAACAAAGTACAACAAGCTAATAAATTTCCATCAGGTACATATAGATAGGAGGGATGTTTAAAAGCCAGATTAATTACTTGTAATCATATATTTCTAAAATGTTTTCCCTCAAACAACAACTAATAGTTGAATTATATTCTACTAATGAGTATGTAAAACGTGTAATTTGATGATCTACCCATAAGTATCCAATGTGTAACTGTAACAGGTAAAAACTTAATTATACAGTAATAATAATCAACGTAAACAAATAATAAAATATAACAATCACAACAAGTTATTGCATTAAAATGTTATCGTAGTCGTCGTAATCGGTATAGGTTTGGATAGACCTCCATTTGCTCAGATCTATGCTTGGAATGATGTTGCTCTTGCAGTCTATGGGCTGGTTCCTAAAAAAGTAATATTTCCCAAAGAAGTTTTATTGGTAATGAAATACAATTAATAGTCTTCAAACACAGAAGTGTAAGTCTAAATTCTCCAACTCTAGTAACGTTATATGGTTCAAAATCCACGGTCAATGAAAAAATACACATAGGATTTTTGAATGTTGGATTGCTAAAAGATAACTACACATACAGCCTCATTCTACAAAAAATTATAACCACTCACCAAGTGCTTGGTACTTTGAATACTTCCGGTTGTACCATCCCTAATGATAATCCATCGGCATTGTCGCATACAATTCTTGCCATACTTGTTTTTCGAATTTCTGCTAGTTGAGCTGAGAAAAAAAAATCCATTTATTAGGCTATCCATGAAATATAACGATCATATTTCAGAAAAACCAAACAGAAGGTTCTGTATAATGGAGTGATACGTCTTGTGCCGTTCAGAAGCGTTAACTAGTGTATCCCAACAAAGTTGCAAGATGTAGTATAGCAGCTCATTACATGCCTTAGTGGAGAGGTATGCGCCTCAGGATATAATGTGCGAGGACAATAATGGTCTCCTCCACGGAAGTATTTACATATTCATTTCATCTCTAATGATGATATATTACCACATTTAATTTGACTAGACTTTGGAATATATAATATCTGAGAATTTTATGTCAACACTGTCCGAATAAAACACAAGAAATGTCTAGATCATAGAACGGTGCGGTGTCTGTGATGCTGCTGCGACGTGATTCAGTATGAGACGTGTACGTTGACACATTTTAAACGAAAAACCAACAGAAATTGCAATCTGATTTCTTCACAATATAACTATTGCTATAATGTTCCGATGATTACATTTGTTTAAGGCATAAAAATACTTGCCTGGTTCAAAGTAGGATGGGTTGATCCTGGGATGATTTTCGAAAAAGTAACGGTCACCTCTCTTGAGTCTAGCAAACTGGTCTGCAATTATATGCTGGAATACTCTCCCTACTAGTGCCCCAGGTGCTTTTTGCTCCAAAAGTCCGCCTACGTACAAGTCTACGTCATCAACTGAAGGGTAAATAGTGGCGAGCGTCTTAGCGTACTGAAAATTAAAATTTTATTTAGAAGTAGAGTGGAAGTTATTCGCGTTTCTTAAAGTGCATTGAAAGTTATAAGTATCTGACACATGCAGACCATTGTAACTAACCCATTCCTTATCGCTTTAAGCGAAGTATTTTTGAAAAAGGCAAGAGTAATCACATTATATTACAGGTAAGCGTTTTCGTATAGTGTAACATGACTACCTATAACTAATACCTTCCAGAGACACGTTCATAATCCGGAAAATATATTTTATGACTAGTTGTGTTTGGACTATTTATAGAAGAATGGCATACAGTGCATAGATAATATATTTCTTTGTCTTCCGGCGATTTGACATAAACGAGGCAATATCTGTACTAACAATAGGTATAATTATTCATCGTTAACTAGCTATATCGATTATGTATTTACATATAAATATAAATAGTGTGTTCCGTGTGGCACTGTACTGAGTGGAATTTAGCCTAGCCTAGCTGAGGCGTTTTCATATCTGAGAATAAAATAATTCTAAATCCATTTTCACGATTTATCTAAAGGTGCCCATCCTTCAATATAATATATCTTATGCATTATTTAACTGCTACTGATGTATCTCTGAACAATAGCAAAGTTTCATAGGAGTGACTTAAAACTGATTGGGCGTTGAAACAATCCAGCTCTAGAATCACTTTATTAACTTTCTTGTAACTTATCAAGATGAACATAACTAGACTGCTCAGACACATGTTTATTATATATGAACTTTTCAACTTGAATTTATTTCAGAAATGCTGTGTTCTACTTACAGCATATCTTTAGGTAACTAAAAGTTATGTTGTAACTCTTTTTTTTCATTTTTTTGTATTCCATTGGATGCAAAGACCCGTAATATATACTCTGAATTTATTATTACTTCGCAGAAAAGAGAACAATAAACGATATAAATAAAAGGACAAATCAATGTTATGCAACCAATTCACGTTTTTTGGTTATTTCTTAAATGACTTAGTTATACCAACTGATGTATTACAACAATATGAGTTCTGCTTAAAATTGAAACGGCATTTGGTATGCAAATTCACTGAATTTGATTCTACTGAACAACTCAAAATTGTGATAAAAATGTAGAAATGCTGGATACGTCATTATGCGATGCTACGTTTAACATGACCTAACCAAAACACTACCCTTAGGTACATAATGCACGCATAGGTATGCCACGCAATAAAACGTCGAGACCGGACCTGCTTACTGTTTTAGTGCATTTTCATCTTGATTTTAAGTTGGTTGGTCTGGATCAAGTTCTGTAAAATTCCATATTAAATGCCCTTTGAAGCAAAACTCATGTTGCTGTGCAAGACTAGTGGCTAAAATTAAGTCATTAAGAATTACTGAAACAACTTAACAGGGTGCATAAGATTAGTTATTCCGTTTATTTATCCTATTTATAGTTCTTTTCTCTTTGCAATAATAAATTCAAGGTAAAGGTTACAGTATGTTGCATCTAATAAATTACAAAGAAATAACACAACGGATTCGGCCCTGGAATTTTGAGATACTAAGGCACTTTTAGTTGAATTCCAGCCACTATTTTATAAAATTTTGAGGAAGTGAAGTTTGGTTCCGTTTGAAGCACTGAGTTTTGCATCACATAAGTGATGGGAACAATATATTTGGTTAAATATGCTTTTTACCTAGAACGCCAAAAAGAGGTGCAATCAATAAGCACCATTAATTTGCTACTTCTGTAATTACTCATTATACATTAAAGGCTGTTGATTTTGATAAATTTAAAAAAGTTGTATCCAGCGCTGTTTTTTCTAACCATCGCACAAGTGTTAGATTAGGTGACTTTTATTTTGGAAAATTTGACCAGAACTCGCTCAATAGTGTCCAAGACTTGTGATATTAAATATTGGGCATGATTAGGTCAATCATTCTATATCCGTATAAAAAGAATTTAGAATTTTTATTTTTAGCCGTGAGAAAGTTCTGGTCCATTCTTCCTACCATTTCACTAGGTCCATTCCCTCACGTAACACCCTGTATACAGGAGCTTGTTATTGTCTGAATATTTTTATCCACTGAAATCATAATTTAATATGGAAGACGTTGATTATTAATTGACTCTCATCGCCGCATCAAAAGCTCATGTTTATATTGGCTCAAAATGTATAATTATTTTCCGTTTTATTTAATCAAAGGTACGATGATGCGACAACCAGTTGACATAAAAACGGGACTGTATTCTGTTTTTGAAAAAAAGATGAAATCTATGAAATGTGCTCGTTCCTAGTTCAAAGCTCATGCTAGGAAATGCGTATCAAGTGCATCAGTTTTGAAGCGCTTTGTTGAAACTTTAGAAATACGGCCAGTATGGTTAAAGCCATGATCAGCAGCAATCCATCCGCTCATCTACTGGTAAAAGAAATTTATTATGGTTTGTATAAGTGTGTACTTACCTTCGGCCCAAAATCACTGAACGACGTGAACTTAGGTAGACCTAGGAGCTCTCTGTATCGATTATACGGTTGAATTCCATGATCTCTTCCTCGTTGTATGTTGATGGATATGAGGTCTGTACCAAAGCAGTTACCGAAGCGGAAGACGTACTTTTGGAGCTGCCAAAACAAAGTAGACCATGATTACAGACCACGACTTATCTATTATAGTTAAATTCTGGTCACGTTCGATTTACATAGAATCTCGCATAAGCTAAACTTCAGCTCACTCAGTTTATTGCACGACCGTTTTAATAAATGTCAGTTTAAATGTAGCGAGATTTCTTTTAAAAGTCAGTCAGGCATCATATTTAACAGTTGACAGCATCGCGGCTCTTTGTCTTACTTCTCTTGTATAAGGAACGCAATATAAAATATATATATATATATATATATATATATATATATATATATATATAGATGTAACTTGAGACGTGGTCATTGTCGTCTAGACCAGTTAGGTGAAAAATTAAAGCTTCCGCCTTTTGTTGGGTACTTCGACAAAATTTAAGCAAAGAGGACTCTTTATACTTTTTTTAATTCTCTCTAGCTTTCAATGGACTTTGCCATCATCATCAGGAGAGTAGTATGTGAGGATGTTGCTAATTGTTGTTTACGTATAGGATGAGGGAAACGTCCAGTAACATGGTGAGAGCTGGATAGATTGTACAATGGTCAAAATTATATAAAATATGACAAGAACAAGTTAAAAATAGATTAAAAATTATTTAAAAAACCATGACCACTAATTTGTGCAATCATCAAGTGGCTTCACGATGTAATGCTCTAATGTTTTTTAAATAATTTTTAATCTGTTTTTAACTTGTTCTTGTCATATTTTATATAATTTTGACCATTGTACAATCTATCCAGCTCTCACCATGTTACTGGACGTTTCCCTCATCCTATACGTAAACAACAATTAGCAACATCCTCACATACTACTCTCCTGATGATGATGGCAAAGTCCATTGAAAGCTAGAGAGAATTAAAAAAAAGTCTAAAGAGTCCTCTTTGCTTAAATTTTGTCGAAGTACCCAACAAACGGCGGAAGCTTTAATTATATATGTATATATATAGATTTGGGATTACAGCTATTCATGAGAAGTATATGAACTCAGTTATTTCGGATCCACTGCAGAAATTCTGGGGATACATAAATTATTTGTTTATAAGTTAACATTGTCCATCAAGAGCACTGAAGCAAAACATTAGATAACATAGGTTAAACGCTTTGATAGATTCTACACAACCTGCCGTATTTATCTCGTTGTGTTGAGTATGATTGAAAATATTAGTTTTTAATACACACACGGTACAGTGAAATTATTTTTGCTCTCGATATATCAATATATTTTTTTCGAAAATTAAGCATGAAGCGAAGCATCAATCACAGATAGTTGACGGGCAAGATTTGGATTACTAAACCTTGTATTGTTCTCAGTAGTCGTTATCAATACGGAGTGGATATATTTTATCGAATTTGGGTGATGCCCATTTTACCTACACTTTGGGACGGGATTCTTAAAACTAAACTAAAAAAATATGTTCTCAATTTTGAGAAGTTTGTTCAACATCCAAAACGAAAGGAGATAGTTAAAGATGGGCAATCTAAGCGCCAAAACAAATGAATTTTTAAGCTTACTAACCATAATGATAAACATTGTGGTGGCCAGAGCACCTAAAAAGTTTTTCAATGCAGATAACAAAAAATGGTATCAAGTAGGTTGACTCTGTACTCGGCACACGGACTTTGAATATCGCCGTTGTTTTGACGAAAACTACTATTTACTTAGAAGCAGTTTTTGCAGAGTGACATAAAAACTCTTTTACATTTAAGAAATTGATTTTACTGCCATTCACATCGATCACTCAATCTCTACTGGATTACCAGAGCTTCTTATTGTGAGATCAGATTACCAGATCAGATCACAGAGCTCATATTTGACTACACAGATATTCAGAAAGCTCCCATGCAAAAAATTTGTTACATAGGAGGTTTCATCAGAACAACGACGATACGCATTATGCATAGTATCTGGATCAACTTTTGTTACTCTGGTATTATTATTCACCGGTTATTAAAATTGTACCTTGACATAAGCTCATAGAGAAGAATGTCCGACGGCTATAAAGACCTTTATGCGTCTGTATAATGCTGTATTGTGAGTTTGCATCGTTAATTCTCCAAATCATTTTCGTATTCGCAGAAAACTGGTGAACGTTTATTTTTTATTGCTCACCTGTATAACTATAGCCATAATTTCATCATTTGTGGTGTACATTTGATAAATTACTGCATCCTGCTGGACACAATTGTTCCAAGGTCGCGCATCGTTACTGTTCAGGTAACAAATTTATTCTATATCTCTATCACTCTGTCTCGCGGCAAATTTACGGAAAATCCATGTGTAAAATATACCTAATAGGCGCGTAGAATTGTTAGGCTCTACAAATACAATACCGCCGAAAATTGAGATACACCCTTGCCCACTCGCTACAATCCCCCGTCTCCCAATTTCTTTTTTTTTGTTTTTCCCTTAGTGCCGCTTCTACTGATGCAGATGAGTAACATCATTTCTCGCGATTACAATACTTGCTCGCCGGTGGTATGGGAAATAGATCGCTCAGGATGGCTAAGACTCAACGAACGTGCCAAGCTTAAACTTTTTACTTGTTATTTACTACTTCTCTTTCTATCGGTTTAATGTAGGACTAGATCAGGATACTTGAACTTAATATAAATATGATAATCGAAAAAATGCTAATCTCTACCCTTTTCTTTTCACAAGGAACTTCAACTAGGTGTTCTGCTGATTAGGCGTAACTTACATTTTCGTTGAAATTCTCATCAACCTGTTGTACAGGCTGTGTGATTAACGCAATAAGTATCATGTCGAATACATCGATCCGCCTCATCTGCGAGGGGTAGTTCATGGTCTCTGGAACGAAAGCCAGCACTTGATCCACCCTCCCTCCTTTGAGCAGCCTGAAAGAGAACATTTTAAATCAGATAAGACTTCGCGGAGGCAAGGGCTTGCAAATAGATTAAAGGGATTCAGAGTATCTGTGGGAACAAGGACTGTTATTTTATATCCCAAACGTTGCCATCCGGATAGGCTTCCGGGACATAGGCTTTTTGCTTTATACTAGGATGCGGCAAAATCGGATGCCGCTGAACATGTGGCTGACCCGGTTTCACATAGATCATGGAAATATAATGACACATTGGCATTAATGGAAAATGCTTTTATTGACCATCATTTAAGGGCAATGATGTGATGATTTTTACAAGTCGCAACAACTACAATTTAGAGCCTCAAAAATTTCTTTTTTTAAGTACGTGAAGCGTTTATTTCCAATAACCTATACATCATTGTAAAACGTAGAGATTGATGCGTTTTTAGAACCTGTGGTCGTTTTTGCATGCCATGCCATATCGATTCGCTGCCAGGTCCTTGAGCAAGCACTTCATTTCATCTTTGAACTTGCTGACAAAACTAAATCTCTTTTTTAAGTGTACGCTCATCCTAGGGAGCAGGTGGCAGTCACTGGACTTACAGTATGCGTATGTATTCAGCTCTAAAAGAGTTCTGGTATGTGTCAGTGTTTCACAGTATCTACCCTATGAGGTTCAGAGCTACCTCACGAGTCTAGCGACGGGCTGGTACTACAGGCCATGCAAGAAGTGCCACTGCCTCTACGAAACTGCGTCGACCAAAAAGATGAATATGTAAACAGGCCAATGATTAGGTTTTTTATAAGACTTATAAATATATTAGAAGTGGATGATCTATGTTCTTTAAAAAAATAGGATCCCTACCCTCTATCGTACAAGATGCTGAGCAGGTGCTATAGGCGCTGAGTTTTCGAAAACACTTACAATTATTTATTTTCAAGGCGACAAGGGGACACCACATAACTTTGCTAACAACAAAAGCAATACGAAAAGCATCACAAATGCTTATCATTTAAGCTAAGCATTTTCAGAACAAGAGCACCTATTCCATTCCTGGTGCAACAACATTTGAACAAAAAACGCTTGATCCCCATGGTTCGATATAGCATTTTCTCATCATTCAAAGTAATAGCAGTAAAGTGAAACTACGATAGTAGCATAAATGAGGAACAAAACATTTTACACAATTCATGTTTCCAATACTTTAGCCATTACCGAGTTGACTTTTTCAATAAAATTAACACCATGTACTTGGCCAACTTCTTTATCAGAAAACGCTATTTTTATTTCGAAATTAACATGCAGTTAAGACTTTGTTTGACTTCTGAAAGTTTTGTAAATATGGATATATCCGGTTTTTACGCGAGCTACTCAAATGTTCTATTTTCGACCCTAATATTTGAGATAATCCAATATTCTCTGAAGAAGTTGACGATTTAAATAACTAGCATCGGTTCTAATGCAAGTCAAGTTCCTTTAAACTTGAGGACATAAATGTTTTCCATAAAAGTACAAAAGGACGAAAGTTTTACGGTTGTCCCTTTGACAAAAAAAAGCAAGTACTAGCTATTGAACTGACACAACAGACAATAGATGTGAAAATGTTCCTCAGATGGTAATTCTTGTACGATGAGTAAGGCCAGGTGTTAACGGACATAATAGAATGCCTGGTGATGATAGGCTTAATAAGTATGTTCTAAGCACTTACGTTATTGTTGTTTCAATCAACGAGTGTCCAAATCTAAATGCACCGGCTGTGAATTCACTAGACACCGAAGGTTCCATGATTGGATCGTAGTCGATAGCATAAATTGGACCTTCTTGCAATCGCAAATCATAAAGGTCTATAGCCTCTGTCCCTACAAATACAATAATCTTATTTATAATGATATTTACAGATACCTATAGGCTGACAGACATTGAGAAGGCAAGCGATTCGTGTCGCACGAAAATGCAACTCGACAATGCTTGACATCCGGCTGTATCTGACTTCATTGTCGAGAATTGTTGATTGATATTTTTGGGCGACACGGATCACTTCCCTTCTCCTCAAGGTACATGCTCCTTCAGTCGTGAAAAAAATTTCAGTGGCCGCTCCATTAAAACAGCAGTGACAAGTGAAGTGAAGTTGCGATCGGGAGGCCATGTTTGTATTGATGGGGAGCAAATGGGGTTTGATAATAGACTGAATTAGCTATAGATGTCGATGATTGCGTTCATCACAACAAATGTTCATTCGCACACGCCAAATTGATATATGCTTATGGTATTTCATCAAGTCATTCGTTGGTTGTCAGAGCGGTCCGTAGGACCTTAGCTCTTGAGTCACAGTGTCAGTTTGTAAGTCTGTCAGGTCTGGTAACCCAGAAACCAGACAATTTTAAGGAAAACAGGGAAGGAAAGGGGAGAAGGAAGAACGAGAGCAAAGGGGAAGAAGAGCTTATGCTATTTAAAGCGGTATATGATAAACCGGCGTCAAGCGTACATGTAACCATGGAATTAACTGAAAGTACGGCTGTCAGGTAATTGAGTATATCTGACACATGAGGTCGGATGACCTCCTTATGTAGAGAATGTGAACAGGAGGTTACGATAGTAGAGCGACTAACTAGCTATCCTGTTAATCCAAGAATTATTTGTGGGGAACGTTGACTTTCTATGGCTAGTATAAGGCAAACTCCGCTGGGTCGCATCACGACATTTTTCAATAGATTGAGGTGGCTAGTGATCCGGCCCTGGGGGACGACGAAGAAGCCCAATATGATTTAACTACTGTGATCTTGGCAGATACCCCTTACCCCTACCCATAATACAGAGGTAAAAAGGGCAAGATTTTTACAAAAAATTGAGAACCTTATACACTAAAACAGTAGGTGAAAATGAATCATAATATACAGGGTGATTCGCAAGTCGTGACCAAAAATGAAACGTCATACACAGGACCGCATTTTAAGGGGGGTTCTTTATGTAACATTTTTTCCTCGAGGGCTTCATTAAATAGATACGGGTGCTCAAGTTTAAAAAAAAGGAAAACATTTTTTTGTATATTCAAAACCGTCAACTGGAATGAACTAAATTTTGGTATGTGGGTTGTCCACATTCAAAAGTACCTGATTGCACCAGTGCCGGAGATACACGGGATTAGTGACATTATTTTTTCAAATAAAAATAGTACGCCACCGTTTTTTTTAATAGCTCAATTTTTTGAATTTCATCTTCAATTTGCTTCAAATAACTACTCTTGTGTTTCTTTCCTAGAGTGCACTGTTTTCGTAAAAATTAGATCATACATGAAGAGTCGAGATACAATTAGTTTCAAAATAAAATAGGAGGCCTTAATCCCAACATGACGCTTTTTGAGGAAAAAGCTTGCCAAAGTTATGTTATATGGTTGTTATCGTTGCTACTACCATTTTTCTTCTTTTTTGCAAAAAGTCAAGTCAAAAGTCTCTTTTTTCCATTTTTAAGTGTTGTGAAATGGAATTTAGCAATGATAAATACGCCTATATTTTTTTTGTGTGCGGGTTCTGTAATGGAAACGCTTTAGCGGCTTCTCGGGAGTATTAACGTAAATTTCCTAACAGACGCCAACCTACCCCAAAGGTCTTTACGCATTCATTTCTAAGACTTCGGCAATACGAAATTGCCAAACTTCCCGGAGCTAGAGGCCATGGTGTCCCGCATACTATTCAAGAGGAACTAGAAGTGATTAATTTGGCGTTGTAGGATCTTAGTACAAGTACTAGGCGGATTGCAGCCCGTACATTGGCCTGCGTGGTCTCCTGATTTGAAGCCCAATGATTTCTTTTTGTGGAGCGCTTTTGAATAACTAGTGTATGTTGAACAAATTAATACTGTTGATCAGTTATAAGACGGAATAGACAATGCGTTTCATCAAATTCACGCCACAACAAATTTTGTGAGAATACGTTTTTCTTTATTAAAAATATGCCGCACATGTATCCGTCAGAATGGTGAACATTTATTGAATTACAGCTTTGATCATCCAATTTGTTATTTTTGTCGTTTTTACGAAAAAAATGCACTCTAGGAAAAAAATACAGGAGTACTTATTTGAAGCAAATTGAAGGTAAAATTCGAAAAATTAACGTTTCGAAAAAAAAAACAGTGGCGTACTGTTTATTTCTAAAAATATTGCCACTAGTCCCCTCCCTTGCATTTCCGCCACTGGTGCACGTTAATTTTAAATAAAGACTTTTGAATGTGGACAATACTTAGGTAAATTCACATACCAAATTTTAGTTTATTCCTGTTGACGGTTATGAAGATATTACAAAAAATGTTTTTTATTTTTTAACTTCAACACCCTGTATATTTTTGATGAAGCCCTCGAGAAAAAAATGTTACATAGAAGACCCCCCTTAAAATGCGCTCCTGCGTATGATGTTCAATTTTTGGTCACGACTTGTGAATCATCCTGTATTTAATAAAGTACCTGGTTTTTCTCGGGAAGCAAAAGCCTAAAAACGCCGATTGTTTTAGTTTAACGAATGTTGGTACTTATGATATATCCTCCTACCTATAACGATGGGCAGAAATTCGTTATAAAGAACAGTTTGCAGCTCGGCAATAACGATCTTTCTTGCTTCCTGAAACACTGTTTCGTCTATCCAGTGAGGGTTCATTTCACTCAGAGCTTGAGCAACTCTATTGTGCTCTCTGTGAAATAGCGTATGTACCGCTGTTAGAGTTATCAAGCTGTTGACTCTGGTGTCTCCTGGAAAGATATTATCATTCAAGAATCTTATACTACACTTACTGATGCAGCAGACAGCCATTACAATAGTCTAAACAAACAATAGTCAGCTTCGTAAATCATAAACACTTCGTACGTAAACGTTAACGTAAGTATATTTTGATATTTAAGCCATTGTGTGCGTCTAACGATAATACATGTTTAAGCTGCTGAATGATTTTTGACAGAATGAAGGTAGACTTCTCTACTTCATGCAACTATCGTTGGCAGCTTCACGAAAAGCAAAGCCGCTTGAAGCAAATTCCGCTGAAATCGACTGGGTTATTACGTAAATAACGCACATAATGTCAAAAAATCCACTTATACCCGAGGTAGCCTCTAGTATGCCGCTATTTGGAGTAGAACCTGAAGTTTCCAGAGTAGCGGAAAGGTGAGCTATGAAAGTTAAACATTTTTGTAGAATGACTCGCTGACAGCTCAATAGCTAATCATCAAAACGCTACTGTATGTCCTGTTATTCTTCTCATATTGGAAGGGTCTATCAGAATATTTAATAAAATTTAACATAACATGAATCCAAGTATTTCAGAATTTCAGTCATGAATCCTTTGGTAGATGAGCGAGTCGAAAGATAAGAGACACTAGGAGGCATTAAAGAAATGCACTGGCCAGTACATTGTCTGTAATGCTTGAAACTCTTTATACAGTGTTCTATGTGAACTCCTACTGATAGCACTTTACATATGAGCTAACGTGTTTTCACAGAGCTAAACCGATGCTTATAATTACGAGCTTATCATTTTTAATGATGTTTTGTAGTTACAATGTTAATGTAGAGTATGAAATCAAAATGTGAAATATTCATGACACAATTTGTGCGAGTGCGGCAGCAGATCGGTGGAGCTGAACAAATCCTTCTCATATTCATTGAATAAAAATGAGTAATCTTATATCTAAATATTTATTTCAATTCGATGTAGTTTGATTCCGAGTCTATTTTTATGTAGGACCGAAAACTGTGAAAAGCAATGTGTAATGTGTAGTATCAAGCACCTAGTGACAGTGAGAAGAGATTTAACTCACCAGACTTAAAGCAAGCAGAACCACCTTTGCGAGATATACACGCGTTAGAATCTTCATCCAGAGGAAGGAGGTTTCTTCCAAAATCACGAAATACCTTTAGTTGACCGTTTTCAAATGCCCTCAGATCACCTTGTTGTTCGACTGAAGAGCCGTATACTGTGGAAGCATCAATAAAGTGAGTCACTTTATCCAACTGAAACAAAAGATGTGTCTGTCAAATTCGTAAAGTTGTTGGAAAAACTTTTTACTAGTCTTTTTCTGTATGAAAATAATTCTACTTTTTGAATATGAGCTAGCGATGCTGCACTTATTTAGAATTCTGATTCGGGACAGCTCAAAGGTATTAGGCTTCTTTTGGGAAAATACGTTTATCAGCAGAAAACGTCTGATAGTCCTCGGCTATTATGATTCAGTATTTTGTACTTATACAGCCGACCATAACGAGCTAAGTGACAATTTTTATTAAACACAAAATATGCTGTCCAAGAACTTGAACATAGTGGGACGCTGCAGTGCCTCTTTCACCAAAAACTGAATAAATATGTCAGACAAACGTTTCGAGGTTGTTCATATCAAAGATATGCATGTTTATACTGTCGTAACACTTTATCTGATAATTGCTACTCACCTGACTTGCATAACCTAGTCTACACTCATGATCTGGAGCAAATACTGAGCGCATAAAGTGCATACACCTCCTTCCAAAATGTCTACCATAGAAACCATCACTTGGTGATACGTCTATGGGTAGGCAAGCAAAATGACGTAGCCTTTCGGGCCAGTGGTCTCCGCTGTCCATGCAACACGAAATTCCACTGCTGTTTCCTGCAACATACTTATTTTTAAAGATTACAACAGTTCCACAATATATCTGTTATGGTCTTATTCAGGTTCAGTTCTTAGGAGCTTCATACAACAGCTACGAACCAATAACTGAGATGCGCAGGAGGCTATGTGTAAATTAATAAATTCCGATTGATTTTCGTACTATTTGATTTCAATTAAACTTGAACACTATTTTTGTTAATTATTTCATGAATTTGGCAACAAACCACTAAAGACAATTTTTCAGTAGTGTACAGCAGACACATCAATAAAAATTCAAAATAACCTGAGAAACAGATATAATAGAAAGGATAGCGCAGATAACTTTGAAAGTGATAAAGTTAACGCTCTACGCGATAGCAGATTCAGAAGAGGCCCACAAATTCGAAATAATACTGCAAATGTCGCTCATATTCTTGTAATGCTATCAGACGAAAGCAGAGTAAGCCTATATATTTTCAGGAAATAAAAACGTAAACGCTAGATTATAGTTATGACTCAAAAAGGCAATAATCTGCTTTACATTTCTAGATACCTTTGCAATATTTGAATAAATACTACAAACTGAGCTAAACTTTTGTAAAACTTACGGAAACTATGATCCACGCTTTGGGAAACGTCGTGTCCAATAAACTGCCCAAATTGAGCTAGTAAGAGAGTGAAGTTGCTGTTAAATACGTCTTTGTTCTTCATGAGCCTGGAACTAATCGTTCTAGCACTTGGCAATAGCTGACCTGTCACGGAAAATTTTCTAGCTTCAAAAATATCTGCAATAAAATACTTCTTAATTGCGGATAATAGTTAAACAAATAGACACATAACACGTAAAGTAACTCTAGTCTCTATTGCAAGTGTTTTACTATAGGTGCTGTTAGCACTGAATTAACGTTGGATAAACCATGGACAGCTATTTCGGGCTATTTGGCACCTAATCAGCATGGTCTAGGCTTGGTCTTAGATAGAACAACGAACGAAAGTTGACCAACTGTGCTCTATCCAGGATATAAGGTCTATCGAAATAGAACAGCCATCTATATTACCAGAGTCGACCACTGTGAGAGTGAAAGCAGTAAGCTGTCTGTCTGGCCAGTTCCAGCTGTTTTCGCTCTCGCAGCGGTCGATTCTGGTACTAGGTGGAACTTTGTGCTATGTCATTATGATTGGCGTTGAATGTCACAGGTCTTCGAAATAAAATCTAAGTGAAAAAATGGGAGTAAAGCTATCGCAGCGCGTTGCTGGCGGTACTTGATGAGAGTACTCATGTTGCCGCTAATTTGTCTCGTCAATGGTATTGGAATCTACAGCACCCCGTGTCTAGATAGCAGTACATTTCCGAAATTCGTATATACCTGTATGTATGTGACCTTGTTGTCTTAGAATCGCCAAAGGAATCCCCCTTGATTGTATCCAGGTGGTTAGATACAGGGTGTAAAGTTAGTAGTGGATCAACGGAAGTCACTTGATAGAGGACCTCAAAACATATCGAATGAACCCCTATATGTTGTGTCGCCCGAAATGTTATAGTTCAGGAGATATTTGCAATTTTGTTTAATTTCGAAAAAAACGGGATAATGAACTTTCAATCGCAATTACAACTAAACCATTATGTTTAGGACCGTGATTTTTTTTGAGATGAGCTAAATGGGTAGCTGAATCGGGATCTGGCCTCATATTTTTGATATCAGCCTCTAACAATGAGGGAGCGACATATTATGCTTTGATACTGACAAAAATTCAATAAAAACCCTATTTAACCGGTTTATCAAATTTGAACAATTAAACTTATAATACATTTTATTAACAGTTAGTTTAGGTACATTATAAACATTTTTAAGTAATTAGATAAACTACTTAATTTTCCAAGAGGTTCCACTGCTGCAGGAGGGATTCGAGAGGTTCCGCTTTTGTCAAAGTCACGAACAAGGTCATCCAATTCAGCTTGAGTGATTAAATGATGTGTATCAGGCAAATCATGAGAACTAGGGATGTAGCTTGGACCGACTTCTGGTGAAGTGCCTACCGACTGTGTCTGATTCCGAATCAAGCGTTTAACTCTCAGGTGCTACGGTAATGGATAGTAAGTTATCATGAGGGACTGGTCACATTGTAGAGGGAGCATTGGGGTACTGAATGCTATGCTTGGTTTTGCTAGTAATTTTCGTCATGCAAAAATAACAATCATATACGTGATTACGAGGTTCCCACTACTTGTCTTGATTGCCAACTTGGCATCCAAAGTACAGTTCATAAGCCTTTTTTACTAGTGAAGATATATCGGCTTTTGGTACGATTTCGCGGTAACTTTGCCATAAATATAACAGAAGTTAGCGGATTTATTAACGCAAATTTGCGTCGACATTTCAGTTACTGTTTTAGATAGGCACGTAGCTAGCGAAAATATGAATAGATGACTAAAGCGATATTTCAAGCATAGATCCAACTACCAGTAGATAATGATGGGATGTCCGTTTATTACCTGCCTACTCGACCCTTCCAAGAAATCTCGAGCTGATATACACATTTGGGGGTCAGTTGTATAGTTTAAGTCCAAATGTTACAAAACATGCAATATTTCAATAGGGAGGATTTTTTCGTTGAACAGTGATATATTGGAAAGTACTGAATCGATCAATCAGTCAGTCAAAATTGATCTCTATTTTCTCTTTATTTTTCAATTTCAAGTGCAAACGTATCATTTTAATAGCATATATTACATGTCTGGTACCTCTTAGTATGACATGTGTGTGATAAAACGCGACTCAACATGCTTATGCAGATATGATCATATAATCACGACTAGGTACTCCGTTCTTAAATATTTGGTAAATACTAGTCAAGTAGTTTTCACGATATTCCATAAACTTTCAAGGTTTCGATCATGTTGTCATATTTTCATAATTAGACTAGATGTAGGTCTGCTAAGTGGACGAAAAGTATGCCACCGCATTCAAACTTAAAAAGATAGCTGGCTAAATAATAGATCTGGCACCATCTCCGTTACTACTTTCTGGTTGAGAACGAATTTTTTACCGCCCCGTTTCTTTCTCCATAGGTAAACCTGGTACTTAGAGGTTATGCTGCGAGATTGTAGATAATCATTAATAAACGTCAATAAAAAGTACAACACTGCATTCAAGTATGAAAACGCGACTTGTTACCGAAAAAATGGTAAATATGGCAACAAAGATCAAAAATGAGTGTACCAAATTTGCTGAATACCGGTCCACTGGTTCCCAAGATAACTGACCGTTTCCAATTCTGTCTAATATTAGATACATTTTATAACATCCCATAAAAAAATAGAATTCAAACGGTTCTACAGAATATGTAGACATACATAGAAGACACTTAATCGGTATTTCTGTGAAAAATATCCCTCGCTTCTTCTAGGGACGTGATTAAAAGTGCCACTACAAGTTACAAAGCATTGTTAGAAAGATTTGCAGTAGCGTTCTGTACATATAGGCCCATGCATCTCTATAAGGAAGTCTAACAGGTAGGTCATCTTTCATAGGAACTTGTGGTATTACTTTTTGTGTCCTAAACGAACTTGATATATTGGATACATAGTCTGGAATACATTTCATAGACATCAGAAGTGTAGTGTTCAATTATTTGTACAGAAATGCTTACGGTCTTCATATGCTGGTGGCAAAAGCTTCAGGTTAGCTGTAAGGGCTTGGCCCCAGGTCGGATGCAGCTGATTATTACATGATCCATCAGATGTTCGATACACACCAACTATTTCAACACAGTCTGGTTCTGGAAGGCAGTCTTCACTAAGCGGGGTACTATCGATATCAAAAGACTCCCTTTCAAATTGGTCATCAGTTAAGGAACGCCTTGAAATAAAAGATGCACTTTAGGCCTTGATTACACTACACTAGAGAATAGAGCAGCTGAAGCTTCATCCAGCTTCCTTATTAAAACAAAGGAAGGAACCTTTAGATTTTCTATAAATTATTTCAGAGTCTATGATAAAAACGCAAAGTTAAGAAATTAACATTTTATGAATTTCCTAATTCTACATAATAAATTAAGAATACTTTATTTTCCAACTACATATTATCATATGAAAACGGTAAAAGTGGGCTTCTTTTAATTAAATACACACCTAAGGAATTATAAAACCCTGTAACAAATAATTCATTCCAGAAGAGAATTTTTAAATAGATTAAGATTACATCGCCTCACGAGTCGAGTGAGCTATATCTTCATAAATATATATGTTTAAATATTCATTATTTTCGCTTCTTCTAGTCTAGACGATAGATGGGCTGAAGCTGAAATATCATTAAATCCTTTCTGAGGAGTTGAAAGCCTTGAAAAACGGAGCAAACGTGATTTCCGGTCTTTGCAAAATAATAGTATTTCTCAAAGTACAAAGTCAAAAAGGCTAATGAATTAGTAAGAATGATAATATTCATGGGGAGTTTTTAGTATGGGATCGGTCAACTGGTCCGATATTATAAAATAAATCTGAAAAAGACATTACAATTAAAATTCAGGCAAAGGTACGCTTTTACTGTTCTCTAGTTCATAACTTCGTCACAACATAAACATGCATATTTTCAAATGAAATGGAATTTCGTATATGCTGGAAGGCCCTAGATAGGATAGCGAAATTTTTGTCGCAATAGGTTGCAGATTCCATAGTTTCTCGGAATTTAAGCTTTTTTTTAGATTAAATACATCATCTACACTGGGTGCTTATAAAAGCAAAATAAACTTCTACACAAAGGATTTAAATGGTTCGTCCTATATATTTTACGGTTTTGGATTATCCCCTTCATCAGCATAAAATTTTTGGGTTGTCGTATTGCTTTTTAAGTTACTAGTTGTTTCGCAAAATTACAATTCGAAGTAAATAAATAAATACAGCAAAATTCCTGGATAAGGGGGATTTCAAGTGTAATTTTAATGAAGGCTATGCCAATGCACTACCTTTTCGCGCATTTTGTCATATTTAAAATATAGCATATAGAAATGAACTTCTAGAGAAAAAGTACACTTTTTCATAAACAGTTTGTACACATGACGCATGCAAGATTAAAAGACGTTTAAGTATCAAGGAACGACGGGAGTAGCAATACTATATAAACCCCATAGTATGCTATATCAAACTTCTTCTTTTGAAGTGTACTTTCAGAATAAAATATTCCAAAATATAAACGACTCCATTTGTAAGGATGCTTGTTTGTGTTGCAAGGCAGTTGAAGTCGCCCTTTTGAGGGCAGCACACCGAAAATGTAATTAAAAAAGGCGACTTCAACGTTTAACGGTTGTGCACTGTGCAGTGGTAAGTTGTGCTAGCAACGACAAAGGAAAAAGCAATGACGTTTGCGAACAATGGGTTCTGAAGTATTATCAGCGAAACAGGTTTAATAATTCCTAAATAAACGTAATGAGCTCAACCATATTTTCAACAATTTGAACGAAATGCAGCCATTAGAATTGACCAAACATTATTTAAAATGGTGAATGTGTTTACCCACCCAGTTAGAGTGAGTAAGTAAGCATCATCTTTTTAGATGTAAAATATATTGTTCAATCAGGAGTTAAAATAGACATGCAAAAGGAAAATCCAAAATTTTGAAAAGCAAAATGATGAGAATTGGAAGATCAACTCAATAAAACTGTTTACGAATACAAAATATTTTATTAACACCGTCCTATTAGAAAGATTTGAAAACCATTTACACATAACATTCTATACAAACTTATAAATATCGCATATTATACTGCATCTTGTTCTCCATCCTTTTCCGTTACAAAAACTTAAGATAAATTAATAAATGTCACTGCAATAAACTTCAGTAAAAAAATCTCCTTATTTGTAGCTCTAAAGAAATCTTATTATGAAAAGCTAGATCCGCATTCTCAATATTCAAGTCTTAATTTATTCAGAACCTTTCATCTAGTCTATTGCTAATTTTTCAAGAGCGATAACTCTATTAAGGTAATTTTTCCTTTCTATAATGATATACTTCATTAAATTGTATTACCAAAACGTCAAAATATGAATGAGGCATTCTATATACTACTAAAATTATCATATAAAATGGATAACACAAAAAATTTTAAGTAAACATTTCAAATAATATTGAAAAGCAAAAGCTGAATGGCGAACATTTGTCAAAGTCATATGAAATTCGTTCGCAAAGTGAGCACATCTTCTCGGGTTATAGTATCATGGAATGAAATAGAATACGTCCATTTTTTTCATCTCAATCTTTTATTGAAACTTAGAAATTATGTATGAATAAGAATATCAGACAAATGTCCACCACTAGAGGCCACGCAAACCTGAGCTCTCTTGATTACATTTTCCATTACTTATTGATATGTTTCATGAGTAATATTTTCGATTGCTTCCCTATCATTGTTCTTCAGCTGCTCTACAGTATTTGGTTTGTTGGCATACACCCTATCTTTCAAAAATCCCTAAAAAGATCAGGAGCCGTTAAATCCGGGACTTTGGTGGCCAGTTGATATCACCAAATCGCTCGCCAGTGACGGTAAGAGAATTACCTGCAGCGTCGTCAAAGAAGTAAGGTCCAATGACGCCTCCATACCAAACACCGCACCAAACTATGACTCGACGAGGATGTAGTGGTCGCGAATGGATGACACGAGGGTTCTCTAATGCTCAGATATGACAATTCTGCTTATTAACAAATCCATTCATATCTATGCGGACTGCATCGCTCATTATCAGTTCTCTTATTTAAAATAGTGCATAATGACGCGCGACGAACACCCAGTTCTTGAGAACGAAGTCTGGTAGACGTCTCAGAGTGCTACACTTTTCCGAACTCTCTCGATATCTTTCGGAGTACGAACAGTTCGAACACGGCCCGACCTTGGCTAGTATTTAACTTCACCTGTTTGTTCAAATTTCCGCACCAACTGACAAATGGTGTTGACACTGGGCAGATTATTTCAACCGAAATCTGGTCATAGCTTCCGAATCGTTGCAACAATCAACTCATTATTTAAGTAAAACGTTTTAGCAATACGGACGCGTTGTGGGATAGTGTAGCGCTCCAAGATGAATTGCACACAACTACTACGGCGCTACCCACTGAAATGTGTGAATCAAAAATAGCGCGCAATTCAAATCACTCAGTTATACAGGGTGACTTCGAAGTTGAGTCATTTATTTTAACAGTGAGTAGATCTGATCAAAAGAAATGTTTTTTTCCTTTACCATTTTTCTGATAAAATTAAAGTAACAAAGTTATAGCCCTTTGGAAGTTTGAGTACCGCCCTGTCTCAACAATAATATTATGTGCTCGTGTTTGGCAACAACGAATATAATCCGCCTTATCGGTTCATCGCATCGGAAACAAAAAAGCGAAAGAATTTGGAACGATGTTTTTACAATTATTTTATTCAGTTGTATACAGTCAGTGACAGTCGGTAACGCGTGTGTGCATAGCGGTGTCTGTTGCGTGGCTCAAACGAAATAAAAAATGGCACATGTTTACGAAAATGCTGAACTTGTGGACATGATTCTTATTTACGTGGCATCACGGATTTATGCGGATCGGTTTCCCAATCGAGTGCAACCAACCCGTCGTGCCTTTGTTAATGTAGTACAAAGGGCTCGTGAATCAGGTGACTTAAGACCTCACAGGGGAGGGCATGCCGGTGCTCCAAGACCGCACGATCAAATACAGGTCCGCACTGAAATACTTGTCGGGAGGATACTTTATAAAACAAGGTAACATTTTTTTTTATTCTTACACACATATTTTGGTTTATCTTCCTTCTACAATCATTATCTGAAAATTAATGACTCAACTTCAAAGTATATTGGCCCTGTATTTACTAAAATAAATCACTCATACCCTGTCTTTACGGGTCTCACGAGGGGATACAAAGGAAACGAGTGGTAGAAGATTGTTGAAATCATAAACTTACTGCACGTACGTCAAGCTACCTTATTTGAACCATTCTTTCCTTCTGAAAGATACCTTACCTCCTCTTGAAAGCATTACTTGCTAAAGCCAGCCTTCTTGCCTGATCAGCAAGATTCTGCACCTTTGCCAACTCAGCTACGTCGTAGGTTCTGGAGTTGGTGAATAGGCCAAAATCTGGAGATGACTCTGGCAAAACGGCAAATTTATGCAGTTGGTGTTCGTTGGACCTCAGTTCAGCCAAACTATGGGCGCTCTGCCGTGATATGGCACTGATGGTTTTCGAGTCCAGTAGACTTTCTGGACTGTGGCGGGCTGAACCACTGTTAGTGCGAGCTGAAAGAGAGGGTTTTATTTTTCCTTTTCTAATAAGATGTGGGCTATTGTAGTTTTGGACTTTATCAATATATTTTGAAATAACTTTTTGACGTAGTGTGGAATGATATGCCAGTTTTACCGGGCATTTTTTAAACTTTATATCTCCGTGTCTATGGCTATGCAACAGAAACGATAAAGTAACCAATTCCTACAACCAAATTCTTTACGGTTCTGTTAGGGGGATCCAGGCCCTCAAAGGACGCCACGGTGAAATGATGTTTCGTAAATAACTCCCGAACGAGCATATACAGGGTGCTTCCATAGAACAGGAAGCAATTATTCTTTATACCGTTTCAATACTATTTTGCTCTCGGTCGAACTTTGCCGTAGCTCTTTATTTCGGAAATTCAGGCCTCTAAATCAGGCCATCGGATACAGGTCTGCTTGAATAATATTCAAACGGCACTGTCAAAGGCACTCGTGAAAATATAGCAACTAATTGAAACTCCATATGATACCATCTGCCGAAGACAATTGACTCGATTAACGCAGTACTGACAACTTTTTACACCCTGTTTAATAGTGACTTAAAGATAATATTTCTGAAAAGCCTGCTCCTTTGTCTGATGAAGAAGTACCCTAATTCGATCTTGATAGAGTGGATGATTTTTTATAAAAAATGTATTCTTGTGGAGCTAGCCAAAGATCTGACGATTTCCTTCTACTAATAGTATGCCAAATTTATCTTCATCATCATCCCATACGATTAAAGATAAAAATATTAAAAACATAAAAACAAATGTATTAATGATCAAAATCAATAGTGTTAGTAGTAAAATATGCTTTACCTACATTTCTCATTTGAAAAAGTTAAGGTTGCTCTCGCTTACTACTTATTAGAGCACTACGAAATCTGATACTAAACGGATCAAGTGATTTTTATAGTGATGGCCCTGGTACTCACGCATGAAATTCCTCCCAGTGTTACAGCATAGGCCTTTCCGAACTCCATTGATCATGCAATGTTCCTTTTCACTTTCTTTGAAGTAAACGTGTGCTGGACACCATATTGGTAGAGTACAATTACCTCGATTCAGACATTCTTTAGGTGGTGTATTTGGTTCTAATCTGGCATACTTCGTTAGAAACAGAAGTAACCAAATATGTGGCCTGGTCATTCTGGCAAATCTGGAAAAAATAATTGTATTCACTTTTAATGGGGTCCATCATTCATTTTAGTTTTCCTAGACAGGTATTTTGCAACTGAATGTAAAGTCATCAGTTAATTATTCAAATTGATAATTATACGCTTACCTATGGTACTTCTTGCTAAACTTCAAACCACACCTGAAACTAACCAGCAACTGGATGGGAATGGGGGACGGAAATGGAAAAAATTAAACATGAATGTTTTTTGCTCAATTTTTGTTGTGCTAACACTATCAACCTTGCAGAACGTTAAATTCGGACAAAAATGTACAGTACTGCTCGAAAGTAACATCAAGCAAACACGATCCTTTCAGGGTCCTACACTATATTCACATTTGGGAGTCCGATATATTTTACATGAAATTTAATACAAAACACTGGAATCACAATAGATATAAATGCAAATCAGATTAGGACAATGTTTGGCATTTAAGAGTGTATCATTAAATAAATGTCTTAAAAGCTAGGATATCTGTTTGATGTATAGTGAAGGAATTACAACATAAACGTGCTTCTATAGGTCCAAAAATATATTTATTCGAATTACCTAAAAAGATCGCATACTCGCATTCAGTGTATTTATCCTGTAAGTTACATATCGAAAAGTTTAATATTATATAGGAATAGCCAATTTGTTTAATTTTTCTAAATTTTTTTTTTTTTAAAATAAAGTGTTCATCCTATGAGCTATGTGAATCAGCATCCAATATTCCTAACAATATGAGAAACAGTCGATGAGTTTGCTATTTTTTAGTCAATTCGGTACTAAAAGATATTTTATGTTGAACAAGCTCAGGTCCGGACTCTACCTTCTTATCACTTTGCGCTGTATCTAGCTTGACACATTGCAACTCCCACACCATGGTCTCTTCGCATATTTCGATGTAATCTAAATTAATTTACAGAAAATAATAGTTCATCAATTTCTGGTATGTGATTGATCTTACCTACTTTTCAGATAACTATTTAAAGTTTCAAAAATTATAACAATGTTATGTAACACACAACATAATATTCAAAACAAATAGTTATCATATGCGAATGAGATTTTGTTCTTCTTATAAATAGATTCTATAGCTACAACTTATCCATAATGAAACAAGATCATGTCCGTACTTTATATTTTATGTTTCTTCATTTCGTCAAGATGAATACTTTATAACTCGCATTTATTGTCAAATTTAACTGTAATTTATACAAATAGGACATCAAAAATCTAGGTCATTAAATTTACTCAAATCTAATCTAGAAAAGGAGATAACAGAACTACCTAAAGTAACTAAATAAATAAAAAATAATAAACATCACAGCCAACCTATAGAATATAGGGGGCTATCCTTACATTCTGTTTTCAAAATGTCATCCACCAGTTTCGCGGCTTATTGTGACTTGTTTTAAAAAATTCCATATTAGATGATTTCACAATTTAAAAAAAATTAAATGGGTCAGGTCAGCCAAACATGCCCTTGCATATCCCCACTCAAATTTTAAGGGCAATTGTACGGGGGAATCTATACTGTGTGCAATATGTAGTGAGATGGACCACGAACATCTGCGGGATTAACAGCAACATTGATGCTGTTCATCACTACCTGCAATCCAATCGTCCCGCCGTGCTTTTCTTGGTGGAGACAAAAATCCCAGAGTCTGCACCGATTAACCATCTTAACTTCCAAAACTACGATGTGCATTCCAATCTGAGAAAGAACGGGGGAGTTGTGGCTCTTGTCCGCAGCAGTCTTTTCTGCTCCAGAGATGTTTCTTTGGAATCAGGCCGGAAGGACATTCTGTGGCTTCGCCTCAACTCCAAAACATCACCCAAATTTATCTGCTGCCTTTATCGCTCTCCCTCGAAGCATAACTGGGATGACCTACTCGATTCCCTCTTCTTGGTCATTTCAATACCCATAATGAGCTTTGGTTGGCCTCAGACAAGACCGATGCAGCAGGTCTGCAGTCGAAGCGTTCCCTCTTACTCAAGGGCTGACTCAGCTGGTGACGAGCCCTCCTTTTCCCCCCGCGTCTCGTCACACGCCAGTAGCCTGCTGGATCTCTTTCTGACCACGCATCCTGTCCCTTACAGCACTGCTGTCCTGTCCACCCTGGGTAACCCAGACAACGGTGTTGTGGAGGTTAGGTTTCGGTCAGAACCCGCTGTGGCAGCAGAAACTCGTACAGGCCGCAAAACTTGGCATTACGGACATGCCGACTGGGAGGGGCTCAGAGACTTCTTCTCTAGCTTTCCTTGGAGACATCTGACGCGGATGCGTCGGCTGTCTGTTTTTCGATAACCGAAATTATCCACGTCGGAGTGGAGGAATACATCCCTCATACAGTGAAAGTGCCTAAACCAGGGTCCAACGGCTGGTTTAACAAATCGTGTGACACTGCTTGCCAGCAGAAGATCAAGGCACACAGAACCTTCTTGCAAAACCCCACTGTAGAGAACAGACAAGGCGACGTCGAGTCCAGAAACAAATATAACGAAGCGGTTCGCAGTAGATGGGCTTAGCCCTTCCTACCTCACTAGTTTTAAAATCCGCCGCTAGAGGCGCTGCACAAAACCTAACGAAATCTAAGTAATCTCACCGGAAATGAACCAGATAGTCGACGGCCGACTGCCGAGCGCTTTATCAGTGTTGTTGTATGTTGTGTTTGCCTGTGGTTATGATGATAGTAAGGTGTAGTATACAGGGTGAGCCAAGAATGTTTTATACAGGGTGAGCCATACGTCACGTGTGTGACGTCATGTGACATACGTCACGTGCGTGACATACGTCATTTATGTCACGTTATGTGACATACGTCACGTGCGTGCGTGCGTGCTTGTCGACATAAAAGCGCTTCACTGCTTAACCGCTTTACTCAATATTATTAGTGATAACTACATATAGTTTTTACGAGGACCAAAAAGCTGAGGCATGCATATTTATAGGGTGCTGTATGTATGGCTATGGACTCAATATCGCTTTAATGATTTTAATCATTTATGTGATGACCAAATACGGGGATATTTACATAAACATTATTGAAGAGGCATTCACTTTGTTCAGTAAAACAGCCTGTTTATGCAATGGATGTGACAGTGAACGTGCTATGTTGAATCAGGGCTAATTTATCGGCTTTAGCAAACTTTCCTTTTGTAAAATAGTTGTTAATTACCGTTTGCCTAGTGACCCTGCGAAAACATGACAGTGCATTTGTTAAATAGCTAGTGATTCGCAACACCGTCGTAGTCAGATGTATTTTATCAAAATGACTGTACTGGTACACGTCTACTTTGAGCAAAGCTTGTGTTATATGTAACTAGTGCGACAAAGAGTCAGTAACTTGTCTACGTACAAGAGAAATAATTTCTGAAATTCGAAATGACGAAATTGATTTATGAATATTTTAGTGAGAAAGTGGCAGTTAAAAATTTCAAGATGAAGTTTAGGCGTCACTTTGACAGATCGCCCTTTTAATGGAATGGGGGCAGTGGTGCAATTTTATTCCTCATTTTGGAGCTGCGTCCCAAGGTTTTGAGCGCGGGAAGAATAGTACACTTTTGACGTTCCAGAGGGATTAGTTTGTTTTATTTCCGAATGCTTGGAACGGGTACGTCAAACAGTTACGAACGCTGTAATTATTTATTGTACCTACTCTCTGTTAAACGCAGCCCAGGTCAACGATTCCAAAGTTGTTGTACTATATCATCTAACCGTTTTATTGACTAGTTGTTGAGTTCAAAGCAATTCAGGGCACTAAGACGCTCAAATTTGATGCCCGCCAAGTTGTCATTTGCAAGATAGTTCATTTTTGCACCAGGACTAGGAAGTCCTGATATGGAGCTTCTAAATGAAGTACCAGATGGGCACTCATTCTACTTGGTAAATATGCCAGGCTGACGCTCAGATGCCATCGTAAAATTTTTCATCATCTCTTTTAAGTTTAAATGAATTGTATCCGTGCACTAATTTCATCGTACCAAATTCTAGTTTGCTAGTATGGCTCGTTCAAAAATAGGAGGGAAGTACATCTCTAAAAACCACTCACTATTTAAGCGGATCACTTTGAGAACATCGTATCTTGTAGGAGGAAAAATCGTTGACATGCTTGACTCTGGAGAATAATAATAAAAATAATAATAATAATAGTAATAATAATAATAAAAATGTTGAATGAGGAGTTGCCAAATATACTGCTGAGGAAAGAAGCCGATCGTTTGAGATCTTATTAATTTTTTGAACAGCTGCTAACTTTATTATCATTTAGGAGCGCTACTATATGCAGGGCAATAAGAGGGTTTCAGATTAAAAAAGGCCGCCCCTAATGGAGATATCCAACAATTTCGCTGTTTCTCTCAACTGACAAGGCAAATAAAGCATCCTCACAATAAGTTATGTCTCTAAGAGTAGCTCTGCGTGCTGCTTAACTTTCTAGTTTATAAGCTCTGTTCATTGTAAAGTTAATGCTTGCGTCTATCATCAATGAAGCGCACTGAGCGGCTGTCCATATATCGACTCTTTAGGCGTTAGACGACGCTGCTCTAGTTGCTTTTGAGTGGGTAAGTTTTCATTGTCAACCGTGTTAGTGAAAAATTGTTATAAATTAAAAAAAAACATAGAAAATCAGAAGATACATGGTATCTAGGATGTAGTATCAAAAAACAATGGTTAATAGCACAAATCAGATGAACTTGAAGTTTCGATGTCATATATCGAATCACTGCCAAAAGGTACAGTTGACACATTACCGCTTTCGTTCAAAAAGTTGTCGTAGCAGGTCTATTTATGATGCCAAGCAACCAAGGCATACATTACGCGTCACAAAACCACATCTCTGATTTCTACTGAAACAGCCTAAACAGTTTTCAAGAATGTAATTATTGTATATACTTTAAGGTTTTAGCTAAGTACCTTCTTGTTCAAACCTTAAGGAGTGGTTGCTTGAACGATCCTGACATATAAAGTGTATAAACGTGTCTGGAAATGTTTTTTTGTAAAAATTTCATCAGTTTTGGTAATACTTGTAGAATTTTCATGTCCCTAGATGTAGTTCTGGAAATTAGATCGGATAATGATTAATAGCCTTTTTTCCTAATTGATGTTAGTTTCGCTAGTAACATATATGAACCAGATGTTACATCATATCAGAGACGAAGCACATGGCTCATCTGCCATGATATTTAGGCGACACGCACACCTACTACAGATGAACATGAAGTGAGTGACAGATAGTTTCAAGGTGAATTTTTTTTAGAAAAATCGATATAAGGTCATAAGAGATCGACTTTGTGTCCCTTCTTAGGTTACGTAATACGCGTGCGATACTTTCCATGTTATAGCGGGGTCAAGGATCAGCAGACAGACCGACAAACGGACAGTCGTGCTGTAGACATCATGTAACGTCCGATACTTCCTCGTTAGTACTATTTGAAGTACTACGTATTTTCTAAAAGCTTGACAGCCTACATCTTGAAACGGGAGCATCACGGATACTTGGTTCGTTGACTTACTTGACACTGTATAAAAACCCTGCAGGTTGCTGGTCCTCGACTTGTGGTTATAAGTTTAGGAGGTTGTTTTGCAATGTAGGGGTTGGTAACATATTTACAATTGTGGCAATGCTGTCTATACCACAAACACGCCATTCTACAGACCTAGTCAAGTACGAAGACACGCATCTATCGCACAACTTAGGGCCTCATGCACACTATACGAGTATATGGTTTTGGAAACGTGTAATTTTCACAGGCCTGTAACATCTACACTTTTTGAAAAAGAGAATAGTGTAATATCCCATTGCCAACAGCCAGCGCGATGTCTGAAACGCGCTAACATTTACGTGACAATTATACAGTGACAGTATCAGTAGCGATTCCCAGTGCACCGTAAAGGGCAAATATAACATGCAGGCGGCAGCAACGTGCCAGCAACACAATAAAACAAGCCCTGCCTGGGACAGCAGCTAGAAGCGACTGTTACGAAGCTAACAGCTACACCACCCGTCATTTCAGAGGCATTACTTACCAGACTGAATTAGCTGCCGCTGAAACCAGTTTATGGTTAATTAGTACACCATCCTACTATCGCTACCACTGCCACCAACATCAGCAGCTAAAATGTTTCACACAACATACGTTATGGAATTCTTCTTCACAGATTACTTCGGCTAATGCCGGAACCTAATCCATTTTTGCTTTTATCTCCGATTTTAGGGTAACAATTTGTTTATGAGTTGCGAAATGAGTGTTTCGAGCGGAGTTTAGAATGTTACGTCGTATAATGCAGAGATTTTCTAAAGTCTGGAAACAATCAAACATCTGATGTTCACCAAATTTTGATCAAGAAGGCAGTCAGTTATTCTCGATCTGGTTGTGCTAAACACAGTGTTGCCAGGGTTAGCATTTTCCGGAAACAACCCTACATTCTTAAACTTCAATGCAATGGTATATTCTTACTCCCTACACCACTGCCCAGGTAGTATTGGAAATCCCAATACAATTATTATAATTTATAATAAAAAAAAGTTGAAAGTGAAGTAACGGATTTTAATTATATTTCTATACAATGTTACTACTATGCCAAGGACCAATACCTTTGTAGTTTTTGAAAATCAGTTCGGTGCTCTAACTTTGTTTCTTGATGTTTCAAAGGCTCCTGATCATTTGTGGAAAAAAAATTGCAGGGAAAAAAAGTTGGATGTCGGGGGTATAGTGAGTGAAGGAGGAAAGACCTCAATTTTCAGACATCAGTGTGTCTATACGTTTCTAACCTTGGTAATTATGTACACCCATTAGATATGTTTCACACCTAGATTTTCTCGCACAGTTGCCTTAAAGACTTAGGGCCAATTTCACCAACATTAACATTATGGACCAATGGCAAAATACCTTATCGAAATGCAATTTGACGAAAGCTGTCAAAGGTCTCTGAATATTAGTGATTTCTATTGAAATATTAAATAAAATCGTGAAAATTCGACTGTATTATAAACAATACCACTTTTTGATTCCAACATGATGCTTTTGTACAGAAAAAACAGGACAACTTTTATGTATTTTGATATATGTTATAGGTTTACATTTAACAATCCGTTATCCCCCTCAGCGAATGGGAATGCGGCAAATAATACGTCGATTTTCTAGCTGTTAAATTTGGCAGCAGATTTGGACGTTTGTTAATGCATGGCACTCTCGAATTTACCAACTCCAATATACTGAAAGTTATCATTACATACCTGTTGAATAGTGTGGATTTTGCAAGAAAATAAAATATAAAATACATTCCATGAATTCCTCATCTTCCTTTATGTCATAATAGTAATCATTTATTGATTTATGGGATAATGAATTTCTTCAAAGCAATAAAAACATTATGTCCTCTCCATCCTAAAACACAGACATGTGTAAATCGTGTCAATTCCTACATCTCCCTGATGCATAATGCAATACTATGGACATAGACAAAAAATTATGAAAAATGTTTCACAGATAATGGCCGTTAAGTTCAAAAATCAAAAAAACTAGTAATGTTTACTGTTTGTCTATTATTTTTTTTTGACTGGCCTGGATATCTATCTGACACTTGCAGGGTTGCCAAGTCTAACGACGATCACGTCCCGTGGTGGAGGGTGCGAAATGAATCTTTTACATTCGCTGGTTTTGAATTTTTTCGTGAAAATTTACTAGGTATCATGATTATAAGCATCTTTTGTAGATTGTTCGATCAGGAATGGGAAAGATCTCCTGTTTATGAAAATATTTTTGGTATCATCTAACTGTTGCAGTCAGTGCACAAACACTGTGACATATGATTTATAGCATAACCCGCTGCCCTATCAATACAAATTTAACATACAGGTCGCCAAGCCGTTGGGATGCAGTGATCGGGATGAATATCACGGCAGCAACTGATGATTTGGGCATGTCTGGTAAGAACATATGAATTGAAACTCGCTAACTTCACAAATTTGAAGATTTTGTACAATTTCTTTGAAAATGATGAAAGATATGTCTGATTTTGCAGGGTAATGTCGCAGCCAAATGGCAGTCACTCTTTCTGACACAGTCCGGATCGAAAGATGACGATACTCGTGAAATGTATTGATACTTCTAAATATAGGATCCTATCGAACATCCCTACTGTCAAGATGTATAACCCAAGGTACCGACGAAGCTATTTTGAAGCGTCATGGAAATAATTTTAAATTTTCATTTGGATTTTTTCGAGTGTTGTGCAATGATTTTGGGAAAAATGTCACGAATAGTCTTATAAAGCATAGTAGAGTATATTTCAACAGTTGGCAGAACTTACTCCACTGGGACCAGGAGGGTGAAACAGGATATTAATGCACAATCTGGCAACCCTATCGCACCCTCACAAAATGGCCGCTGACAACCACACAAGTCACCGTGTTGTGATTGAATAGCATGGAATTAAACCTTCAGAGTATGTTTTGTGACTGGTACCAAGAGTTGACAGAGCCCACACATGTGTCACTCCTTGAAATGCAACAATCAGCTGTATTCAAATAACGTCTAATATAAATATAACCCAGAATATCTACTGAGTGAAACAAGAAAAATATTGAAAATTTCTAGTTTTTCTGCAGGTTTTAGGTTTGCTGGTAGCTCTACGACATATATTTGGGTATTTCTTAATCGCTAATATAGTGTGGATTGTTAAGTTCCTGAACAACGAAAAATATTCAACTTTATGGATGTACGGATATTAAAAAACCAGAATGGTTTTGTGGGAATATCAATCTAAGGTGACATAATGGTTCTGATGAACGGCAGGTAAATCAATGAATGTTTGGAAACGAGCAATATCTATGAACTTTTGGTAGAGCCAGTCATCAAGTAGGTGCTTATGGCTATCTGCAACAGGCTTATTGGAAAAAACAACCAGTAGATGATCTTGAATCAGTAAAATCGCATATCAATTGAAGAAAATAATATTATCATGAATAAAAAATCAACAATGGTAATTAAAACATGAATTTTATTCAAAAATCAAACATTTGTTTAAATTTTGACTGAATTATATGTAATTTCTTAATATTCAATAAGCTGCTAATGTTTCAATGACAAGATGTCATCTCATACTTTGACAATATTTTGTTTTCAACATTTCATAGCTATTTGTTGCTAAAATTTGTTGATTGGAACTTGAAGCTCATTCGCTGTATCTGACGGACTTTTACCCTATAGGTGGAGAATAACCGACTGTTGTTGGTGAAATTGGCGCTTAGAATGATATTATATTACAACCCCGTCCGCGCCCAGCGCATCCAAAAGCAATACATAATTATAAAGTTCAACACCGCGCCTGTGTCTCACCTGTTTGAATGCGATAAACTTGACTAGTAGATACAGGAGGGTCCATATTTATTGAAGTTTTGTGTAAATTGACTGAGACATGACTTAATTGTTACGCCATTATTTGATGTACGCTCCAAAACTTGTTGATGTTATATAAAATAAAGAACTAGGCATGGGTTCATAATACTATATGCCCAACCATTATACATGTACCTATCTCTAAATGCCCGATTTTAGTTCAAATTGGGCATATTAAATGTAAACGTTATATGTTCTTTTTTACCAATAAACCCCCAGCTTCAATGTTATATACAAAGAAGTACATATGCTCTATCAAACTAGAATGAACACCAATGACGTCTTAACATATCCGGGATGTGAGACTCAACAGCAGTCACCTGTACGAAACCAGGGCAGGATGCCAGTAGAAGATATACCTATATTCCTGAATCGCAACATTGTCAAATTGGAGGTAAAAGGAGTCAACTTGTGCTGTATATGGACTTCCAGAGTCAACCTAATTGACTCTATGATTCTCTGATCATCTATTGCCTCTCAGAATAACCTATAAATACCCGGAATTCATCCCGTCTACTTATAAAAATATGTTAACTAATTTAAGAGTCTGTAAATTGTTGAATATTTTAGAAGAACTGAATTTCTACCCACCAAATTTCCAACAAATTAATATGTCCATATAAATAGTCAGTCTGACTGGAGAATCGTTAGCCTATACCTAAATGGTGGCACTATGAGACAGCCTATCCATGAGCATACGTTTGCAATAGATCGTTTTAAATGTGCACGGCCACACAGGCCAGAGGACACTAAAATCGTATAAATAATGTCCCGGCGTTGACCAACCAACGGCGGCATAATACGTTCAAAATTGAATTTCTACTATGCAATTCCAGACGATAATGGCTTTTATTGAACCGATAAATCAACGCCGGCTCTGGTTGATATTTTTATCCATGGACAAATTCGGAAGTTGATTGCGCCTGATGCCCATTTAATTTATAGTAGTAGTAGGTATAATATTCGGTATTCGGGATCCAATTGATCCGAATTCGTTTTGCGTGTGGGCTCTGGATTGTCTGCGGTCTGTCGATGGTTTGTGGTTCCATGGAAATTCCCGCCTATTTAGTTTTATTGCGCAGTTGAAATCCATTTGTGCGAGCTGCTTTTGCAAAACATGAATCAGAAATTTATTCTTCATGTATAGTCCGGGATCATAATTGCCATCAAATGTTCGAAATAAATGAGCCGATGCAAATTTTGCAAGTTGTATGTACGAGTACAAGCTATATGTTAGACAGATATTTTTGGTAGTGAATACTTTCTTAATAATACCATAATTGTCTTTCAGTATATTATACAACTTGTTTGACCGATACAAACCTTGTGAAACCGATAGCATAACCCATTTGAAACACATCAAGCACGAGCTATTCTGCGAAATCATATTCATTAACGAAGAACGGGTCGTTTGATGTGTTATTTTCTTCATTCATTATGATTCAGAGTCTTTCTATAAAACCGCATATAGATTCTGAAAAAATATTTTGAATGTTTAATTTTACAGTGCACCTTAGCCTTTCATGCAAGTTCACGGGAAAATTTTGCAACTGCTTAATTTCAAAACACTACAAAACGTGAAATGTTTTTCTTATTATCACAAACTATTAGAGCATAGCCACTGAAATTACAGAAAACCTTAGATCATGTTTCGGTAAACTGAGCCACATGATAGTGACAAAGTGTGAGTTGTTATTTTTAAGAATTTCCCCTTTTTTGTTTCATATCCCTACAGTAGAAAGAAATGATATGCTTCCACAATGTCTTGTAGCTTATCTGAAAATTCAATGGAAAGACAAAAAACCTTTAAATTGGGACACAAAAACACAATTAAAGGTGGGATTCCACTGATGCAATAGTGAACGATGTGTGGCATGCAACTTGTTTCCTGGTATTGCCTCTTGTTGACGTTCGACAGTGTTGCCCAAAATTCTATTGATGCCGCATGTGAATTTTGTTC